TATATATCCCTTAACAATCACACATGAAAATAAGCACAACTTGCTGTTTCGCCTTAGTCCTTGTAGACTTACATTTTGAAACTCATTTTTTTTTTCAAAATCATTTTCAATCATATATTTTATGAAATTCACAATTTTAATTAACTATTCAATCTAGCGTTTCACTAACTTTTATCAAAATCTATTAAAAATTAATTTTTGACCAAACCAAACACGTGCTTGATATTAATTTGAGTTGAGACTCCATTTTCTACCCACATTACTTTTAATATATATATATATATAACTTCTTGGAAACTTGAAATGTACAGAAAATAATTTAAAGTTAGATGCGTGTTGTTGACTAGTGGAATATGCTCGTCAACGTCTCGTAGATTCGTACTATTTGTTGGAGAAGATGTAAAGAGAACCTGGTTAGCATTATTCGACCGTAACGATAAAATAAGTTTATTGTTTAGCAAAGTTTAAATTTTAATTTAAGCGGTTCAAATGCACTTTTTATTCACATATTTTATTGTTACCCTCAAGATATTCAGAATGACTTTGTGCGTGCATGTAAAGGAAAGGGGGAGGTGATAGAAATATTCACATGGAGAACTTCAAAGTCACATCGTTTTGGGACTTGAAATTGGACATCATATTGAGTTATTATAAGGGTCCGTTTGATTTCAAGAATGAAATTTAAGTGAAAAGAAATTGAATTCCAAGAAATTGAATTGCGTAGAACTTGTTTTGTTGAGAATTGTCAATTAATTGTGTTTGATTGGTATAATTTTCCACATGAAAAATATTGAAATGTTGGATCTTTAGTGTTCGATTGGCTTTGTTTTTCATAGAAATTGTCCATTAAGGAATATAATTTGTTACAATTTGGGATATAATTTGTTTCCATTGCAAAAATAAAATGATGATGATGATGATGATGATGATAATAATAATAAAAGTTACCTAGAAAAGCCTTTCCCACCAAACCCATGAGAAAAGTTTTTCCTCAAAACCAAAAAAATGTGAAAAATCAATTCCATGGAAAATTTAGTCAATCAAACATCCAAAAAAGTGGAAATGGAATTTAATTTCCATCTTCCATGGA